ATATATTTAAACTGCAATTAATAAGAAATAAATTCAGCAGAGGGCTTAACTATTCATAGAAAATGCATAATTAAATAATTTTTTGGCCTTACCTGAGACTCAAAGTTTCTCTTATTTTAAAAAGAATTTAGCCAATTTTTGCAAGTGATTCAAATGTTAGATAGATGTTGGAGATAGATACTTAGACACTTATAAAAAGTATCAATCCATTCTAAAGACAAGAAATTTAAGGAACTCTATGTTGTAAACATCCACCAAACTCTTAATTAAATGTCAAAATTGAATAATATTGCCAAACTTCTGAAACAGATTAATATGAACTCTGAATAGCATAACTTCACAAGTGAACTTTAATTTATTGACAATTTTTGTCTCTCCTGTATTGCTTCACTTAGACAATGCTTTATTTTAAACTATTTCCTGCATCCTTGAGTCAAAAGATTAGTGATAAAATCATACAACATTTTTAGGACTTTGTAACTCATTTGGTCAAGGCTCATATTTTTGCAGAATAGAAAACTAAGGCCTAGTAATTGCACCATAACCATAGCTGGTTAATGAATAGTAGGAATAGAAGTATACTTGTTTAATTGATAAAAGTGATAAATTTAATAATCTTTAAAGCTTACATTTAATTCTAAAAGTCTATGTTTTCATCATACGGTAAAGACTATATGTACATGATTCAAATATCATGGTAAAAGTAATTTCTCAAGATCATTTAGCCCCATAAAAGTACAACAATATAAGTAGATGTATAATTGAATTTCAATGAGAGTAACTGTGTGCAATGATTAGCAGAGAACAATGAATAAACATCTCATAAGATGTGCATGTAGTATAGAGCTTTAAATTTAAGCTTGTACCCTTTATAGTGCTCTGGACTCAAACCCTTTTGCTTTAGCAAAACTTGATAAATTATTACATGACTCATTTTAATGTACTATGTCAAGATCACTTATGATAAATAAGATACCAACCATTAAATTCACCAATGAGAGGTATTTTCTATAAAGACATACATATTTCAAGTTTGCTTGAATAATCCCCATACTCTCACTTCTATTTTAAATCAATGATCCATTTGCCCCAATAAAAAATACAGATAGGGCATCATCCTACAATTTCCTGAATTGCATCTTAATTTTCTCCAAATACCAATAAACCTATTTCTGCCAGTATATTTGTTTTATTTGTATATTTCTCTCAGCTCCATGAATTGATTTTTCTAACTTTCTCTTCAATGTGAATACAATATATACAGTCTGCTCTCAAACTAAATATGCTGACAGTGAGAAGAATCATATGCTAAATATAATACATACATAACCCACAAGCCCTAATTTTAATCAATAGTTTTAACCTCCTCCTCCTCACAAAGGCACCTAAAATTGAATGGCAACTTGACTAATTTGCATTTAACTCACTGTCTCCTACAGATAGTAATGATCAGGAAAATACCAGTGTTATATGGAAAAGATGAATAAAAGCAAACAAATAAACTATATTTGAAAACTAGGCAATCAATAATTAAGTATAACACAGCTGACTATACATTATCTTATAGCACAAGCCACTTGAAAATCATGTAATAAAAGTGTTTAGTGTATCATTATTTCATGAACCTGAAGTATATTTATAAAAAAAAAATTCCTTAAAAAAAAGGAGTTGCTAAATACCAAGGGAAAAAATTAAGGAAAGTAAGTAATAGATAAAATTTAACAGCTACAAGCTACTGTATTTAAAAGCAAAAACTACTGTATTTGCTAACTCTCACAGTTGAAAAAAGACAATTGACAGGGTCATTTTTTTTAAATGAGGAATAATTTAATGTTCGAAGTTACAACCTAGTCAGTTTATATCTAATAACTGGAAAGATGTCTTAGTTTAGGCTACTGTAACAAAAATGCCAAAAAATTGCATGCCTACACCACAGAAAGGGTTTCTCACAGTTCTGGAGCCTGGAAGTCAAAGATCATGATGCCCTCACTTTCATGCTAGCCTCACATGGCGGAGAGAGAGAGAGGCTAACATTCTGGCCCCTTCTTAGAAGGACACTAACCCATGTGGGCTCTATAGTCACAATCTAATAGCCTTCCAAATGCCCCCACCTCCACATGCCTTCAGGGCTCTGGCATATAATTCAGGAGAACACAAACATTCAGTCCATGGCAAAAGGTGTTAAGAGTCCTCCTCAACTGCCATTGGACACAATGAGCAAATCAATCCTGATCAAGTACTAAACTCTGTTCCTTGAGACAATGGAGAAAAGGTAAAGCACAGACAGTACTGCATTTGGAGCATGTCGCCTTTCGCACTTCCACCTGTGCCTGCTGGCTGGGTGTGGGGAGCATCCAAGAAAGGAGCAGTGGCACCTGACAGCACTTCAGTCCTGGAGAGAGCTGCCCCTCCAGTCATCACCTACAGTTAGACTATTCAGTTCCTCTCCATGTGTCCCTGGCACTTCTAGTGCTGCTGTCTCTTTGCTAGAGTCTAGGGTTGGTATTCATAAGAGAGTGAGTCTATGCTCAGGCTCTTTAAGAGGACCCCTGTGTCTATAGCAGTACTCAGTGTCACCTGGATGGAATCCTTGCTGATTTTCACAGCCAGATGTTGTGGGTACTTCTCTTCTCTGCACTCTTTCTCTGGGCTAGGGAGCCTAGTGTGGAGCTGGGACCCCTCGCTCCTCAGGGATATCTGTAGCTGAGATACCCTCCCAATTCCTAACCACCACACATGGGTATGGGCTCCGCCCATTTTGTGTCTCTGCCCTTCCTACCAGCCTCAATATGGTTTCTTCTTTATATCCTTAGTTATCTGAGTTTTGTTCAGCTAGTCTTTAGGTGGTTCTCAAGGGTAGTTGTTCTATATTTTAGTTGTAATTTTAATATGGTCATTGGAGGATATGAGCCCAGTGTTTACCTACTCTACCATCTTGACCAGGAAGAATTAACATAATTAAAATATCCATACTACCCAAAGCAATCTATAGATTCAACACAATTCCTATAAATATACCAAAGACATTTTTTTCACTGAACTAGAACAGATAATCCTAAACTTTATATGGAACCACAAAGGGCCCTGAATAGCCCAAGCAATCTTGAGAAAGAACAAAGTTGGAGGTATCATGCTACTTGATAAACAAATTATACTACAAGACTATAGTAATCAAAACAGCATTCTAGTGGCATGAAAACAGACACATAGATCAACAGAACAGAATAGAGAGTCCAGCAATAAATCCACGCCTATATGGTCAATTAATGACAAAGGAGGCAAGAATATACAATGGAGTAAAGATAGTCTCTTTAATACATGGTTTTGGAAAAATTGGACATATACATGCAAAAATATGAACTAGACCACTTTTTTACATCCTATACAAGAATAAAGTAAATTGGATTAAAGACTTAAATGGAAGACCCAAAACCATAAAATTCCCAGGGGAAAAACACAACAACAAAAAACATAGATAGTAAACTCTCTGGCATTGCTCTTAGTAATATTTTGGTAATTCTCAAAATATTTTAAACTTTTCATTATTATATTTGTTATGGTGTAATCATTTTGGGAAACCAGGAACTGTACCCATGTAAGACAGCTAACTTAATTGATAAATGGTGGGTATGTTCTGACTGCTCCAGCAGCAGGCTGTTCTCCATCATTTTCCCTCTCATTAGACTTCCCTATTTCTTGAGGCACAATAATATTAAAATTAGGCCAATTTATAACCCTATAATGGCCTCAAAGTGTCCAAGAGAAGGGAAGAGTCACACGTAATTAAATCAAAAGCTAGAATAACTAAGCTTGGTGAAAAAGGCATGTAGAATGCCTAGACAGGCCAAAAGCTCCATGTTTTGGACCAAACAGCCAAGTTGTGAATCAAAGGAAAAGTTCTTGGGGGAAACAAAAAGTGCTTCTCTTTTAGTGAACATACAAATGATAAGAAAGTGAAGCTGTCTTGTTGCTGAACTCATTCCCGGTGAAGATGCTGTGAAGATTGTTGAAATGACAACAAAGCATTTAGAATATCATGGGAACTTAGCTGATAAAGCAGTGGCAGTTGGTAAAGCAGTTTGAGTGAATTAACTCCAATTGTGAATGCTCTACCATGGGTAAAATGCTATCAAACAGCATCGCATGCTACAGAGAAATCACTGTGAAGAGAAGAGTCAATTGATGTGACCAACTTCATTGTAGCCCTATTTTTAGAAATTGCTACAGCCACCAGGACCTTCAGCAACCACTACTACCCTTACCAGTTGTCAGCTATTGACATTGAAGCAAGACCTTGCACCAGCAAAATGATCACAACTCTTGATGAACTCAGATGATGGTTAGCCTTTTTAACAATAATGTATTTTTTCCTTAATTTAGGTATATGCATTGCTGTTCTAGACATAATGCTATTACACACTTAACAGACTACAGTATAGTGCAAATATAACTTTAGTATGCATTGAGAAAACCCTAAAAATATTAGTGTGACTCACTATCTAGTAATATTTGCTTTATTGTGGTGGTTTGGAACCCATCTTGCAATATCTCTGAGGTATGTCTATATAGAAAAGAATTATTTGCTGGAGAATAATTTCTATCATTGTTCAATGGACCCTGTGGCCTTGTCTCTTGAATTATCTGCATGGATCAAACTATCCTTTATAAGTAGAGATAAGCCACATTTGTTATTGTGACAAATACACAAGGCCCTTACACTTTAAAACACTTCAGTAGAACATAAAAAATAATCATAAAATAAAACAATTCACAGTAAGCCAAGAATCAATAATAGTAAAGTCCCTGATCTGTATAATGTTACAAGTCTGTTCGCTAACATTAAGAAAAGAAGAAGAAGGAAAAAAACCCTCATAGAGATGTGCAATTTAAATGTGCTTCTGGAATTAATGGAGCAGTGACTCTTCTCAGCTTTTAACAGATCATAATTAATCAACCCCCAATCAATAATAACATCCTAACTATAGAACCACTGTACTTACCCATGATGGTTAGGGCTGTAGCTTTTGTTAATTCTTCTTTCATTGACTCTATTACTTCTAAATTACCACCATCTAGGTTGCATCTATTTATGGTTCCATTTCCGGAACTGATCCAATAAAGCTTGTTTTCCACATAGTCTATTGATAGACCTGTAATTAAATTATATATCTTAAACATAAGGGTAGCCACTTAAATTGCAGTAGTCACCTAGCACTACATTTGAGGGGGGGAAATATGTTGCAAACTCAGATTATTGTCTGAAAATATGAGGTCTAGCTAATGGAAAATATACAGGGGGCGGGGCAAAAGCAAGTTAATAATATAATATATAATACAATAACTAATGAATACATAATACAAAGGTAAATTCTGTGTTTTTCATACTTACAATTGTAAACCTACTTTTGCATATATATATACACTGTTTTAACTTTCTGTGAAACAATATATTTTAACAGGAACTTAACCATTATCTCTGTTGATCATCACAGCAATCTTGTGACACCGAATTCTACTTTACAGATAAGGAACATAATACAAAGAACAGTTAAAAAATGAGTCCCTAGATAGTAGGTGGTCACCCCGAAATTTTAATAAAGGTACTATTTCCAAATTGAGTGTCTGGCCTCTTATTATACCAGTTGGCTTCATAAAGTTTTAAAGTGTAATACTCATTTATGACACTAATTTGACTTATATAATGTACAATCTCTCCTCTACTTTTAGTAAAATTTACCTTAGGCAGACTTAAACTTAAATTGGGGGTTTCAACTTTTTTTCAAGTAAATTCAAAGGTGGAAGAATTTCAAGAATTAATCATTTCACTGATATATCAAATTGAATGGGGAACATTTAGGGGCTGCCTAGAAAGATAAACCATTCAACAATTAAGTGAACTAAGCCAAAGTCACAATGTGTCAATCTAGGTTAACTTTATTATATAGGACAGACCGTTTCATATATTGTAGTTGTATTTATGGTTTTTAAAGTCTCAGAACATGTACATTTTGATTGCCGAGGGTTCTTAGTACACATCTACTTAATTATGTGGATGTTAAATAGGCTTGGGATCTACGTTATAACAATAACTCTGTGGCTCAAATTTGGTCATCTGTGATCCAGAACAAGGTGTGGAGCACAGGTATTGTATTCCTGAGTATATGTGGACATATATGTAACTCAGGCATACAATATGGTAAACGTTCTGAGGTCTCCCTCAGGGAATGGATTGAACAAACCACAAAAACTCTCCTCCTCATAAAAAATATCTAATTTTTTTTTTTTTAAAAAAAAGGAAGAAAGGGAGGGAGGAAAGAAAGGAGAAAAGTAGGGACAAAGGGAAAAGGGAAGGATGGAGGGAAGAAGGGAGGAAGGGAGGGAGGAAGGGAGGAAGGGAGGGAGGGGAGACAAATGAAGAGAATTACAAGTTCAAGTGCATTGAGAGAGGATTAAAACAGCACAAATTTCTCAACTATAGAAAGTCCCAGGTCAGAAAGTAGAATTGGCTTATCAGACCAGTTTTAATCAAGTAGAAATAATTCAACAAGTCTATAAAATATACCAGAGATTTATTGAGTTATTGGTATGTTTTGCTAATAGAAGTATGGATAGTTCACCAGCAAATTCACAATGCCCCAAATTAGATATTTCAAGGAAGACATTTTCATTTTTTTTTGTTTTTTATTGAATTTTTGATGACCATGGTAAGTGATTGCTTTTAATCACAATGGAAAAATAATCAAATCATGACTATCATAGTCATATTCTATGGTGTAACATTTTCAGGGCAACACTCTATTCACCATTCAATTTTTTATGAGAGAAAGTTGGTTACTCTGCAGGTACCTAAGTGCATCTTTTCTAGTATTAAAATGAATTTTTAGTGGTTTAGACCACTCAATTTCCAGAAGTGCTCTATTTTACTTTCTGCTTAGTTGACTATCTAGAGCACATAATTCCATCTCTAATCAGCAATGAAGATATCTTTACTACAAATTTATGATAAAATAACCCCAAACTTTCTATTGCTGAATTTTCAACAAGACTTGAATAAACAAATACATTCATGAAGAATTCCCTTTAGGAAGGTTATCTATCCTTCTGTGTACTTTAAATTTTATCTCTCAATCAAGCCAAATCATCAGAGAACAATGTACATTTTTATATCGCTGTGTTTTTGTCCCTCTCTGAATCTCTTGCTGAATTGAGCTTTGGCATTATGCCCTTGGTTTAAATGAAGGATGCTATAAGAAGTAGCCGTAAGAAAAATACTGTTATAATTCCCAGGATACAGTATCTGAAAACAGTACCTCACACAGTGACCTCTTTATACAAGGACCCATGGGAGAAATTTCTTTCAGGGCTCAGTGCCAGGAAAAGCTATATATGGAAAATATAAAATTGTAACTGATCATATTTCTCTCTTTGCTTTGGCTGCAAAGAAACTGAAGAGTCCTATTGTGAGCCATATACAGCAATTGTAAAGAAACTGCACTTATAGTACTAATTTTACTCCTGGCTTAAATAGAATAATCTATTATTGTACTTAACCTTGGGTTTTAAAATCAGCATTATTCCTCTTTCTTAGGGAATGTCTTTAAGTTTCCTCAACCCCTCTTTTGAAGGAGAGGGCATTTTTACTGACTGTGTCTAACTTCAAATTAGTCTGCAATGTCAGAACTTCCTCCTCCACCTAACACCCTGCCGTTTCTAGAGTCTGACTTGCACAATGTAAAGCAGTTATCAGAGAGAGCAGCAAAGTTACACGATTTGGGTCAACGTACCCCAGAGTCTACTACTCAACACCTTTGTTTCTGACCTGTGAGTGCCTAGGGAAGGAGCTGTGTCGGTGATCTTTTACCTTCAGTGCCTAGCATGATGCCTAGAGCAAAGAAAAAATTATAAACATTTCCTGGATAAATGAATTCTTTAAATAATCCCAGTATTAAAATTACTAGAGGCCCAGTGCACTAGATTTGTGCACTCAGGGGGTGTCCCTCAGCCTGGCCTGTGCCCTCTCACAGTCTGGATGTGGGGAGTGGGCCTAAGCTGTCAGTTGGACATCCTTAGCGTTGCCATGGAGGCGGGAGAGGCTCCTGCCACCACCGCTGCACTCGAATGGGCTCCTGGCTGAGTGGTGCTCCCCCTGTGGGAGCACACTGACCACCAGGAGCAGCTCCTGCTTTGAGTGTCTGTCCCCTCGTGGTCAGTACGTGTCATAGCGACTGTCCGTTCAGTCACTTTGCATATTAGCCTTTTATTATATAGGATAAGTTGTCTTCAAGGAGTTCTGCCTAGTGAAGTAAAATAATACTCACAACACGTATATATATATATATATGTGTGTGTGTGTGTGTGTGTGTGTGTATATGTGTGTGTGTATTTCATATACTCAGATGTACACACAATATTTTCTCAGTGATACAGGTACACCAAAATTAAAACTTCTGTTCTGTGAAAGCCAGTAAAAGACAAGCTTCAGTCAGAAAAAAGTATTTGCAATCTCTATATCCAACCAAATACTAGTATCAACAAAAGAATTCTCAAAACTCAGGAGTTAAAACAAAATTAGAAAATAGGCCAAAAAAAAAAGTGAACAGGCATTTCACAGAAATAAGATATACAGATGGCAAACAAGCACATGAAAAATATGTTCAATATCATAGAAAAATTAAAATGGCAATGATTTAAAAACTTACAAGACTGGCTAAAACAAAAGTAGTCATGAAATTATATGTTAGTGAGTATGCAAAGAAAAACTGGATCACTGATATACATTGCTAGTAAGAATGTATAGACACTCTTGAAAAATGCTTGGTGTTTCTTACTGCTCCCATAGGACCCAAAAATTGCATTCTTAGTAATTTATTACAGAGAAATGAAAGCTTATATTTATACAAAAAGCTGTACTTGAATATGTATATCAGTTTTATTTGTATTAGTCAATAATTAGAAACATCCTAACTCCTTCAACAGGAGAAGGATTAAGTATACTATATGTACATATGATAGCATACTGCTCACTAATAAAGAAGAAAGAACTATTGATATATTGAACAATTTCAATGACTCTCCAAGGATATAAGCTGAGTAAAAAAAAAAAATCCAAAAGGTTATGTGCTCTATGGTTCTATTTATATAACGTTTTAAAATGATAAAATTTTACAAATGGAAGACAGATGGTATGTGGATGGTAAGTAGGATAGGAGTAGGTGTGGTCATAAAAGGGCAACATGACAGATTATTGTGGCATTAGAATTAAACAGTATCTTGACTGTGGTAGTAAATATAGAAATCTACACATGTGATAAAATTTATAGATATAACTACAGAAACAAAAATGAGTACAAGTAAAACATAAAATATGAATAAGTTTGTTGGATTGTATTAAGGTCAATATCTAGGTTGTAATCCGGCTGGTATAGCTCAGTGGTTGAGTGTTGACCCATGAACCAAGAGGTCCCTGGTTCAATTCCCAGTTAGTGTACATGTCTAGTTTGCAGGCTCAATCCCCAGCAAGGGGTGCAGGAGGTAGCTGATTGATGTCTCTCTCTTATCAATGCTTCTATCTCTCTATCCCTCCTCCTTCCTGTATAAAAATAAATGAAACATTAAAAAATAAAAAGATAATGTCTATATATATACATATATATGTCTGTATACTATAGACACAGGTTTTAATATTGTACTATAGTTTTACATAATGTTTCATTTGGGGGAAATTAAATAAAGTACACATGGGACCTCTCTGTATTACTTTTTATAATTGTATGTGAATCTAAGTTTATGTCAATAAAAATTTCAATTAAAAAGGAAAGCATGCTATTCAACAACTAGTTGAGTATGTACAGGACCAGAATATGCCACTCCAAAATATACCATTTTGGCTTAAAGATTATTCTGAGTCCAAGACATTTGAGAAATAGCAGGTGCACTCTGTCCTTCCCCATTATTTGCCTAAAAGTAGACTTAATATCTTCATCACTAGTCTAAATTGCTCATCCTAGAGATGGCACTGAGAGGAATCTACATAACAAAGCTCACTTACAACCCTTATCTTCCATTAGTTTTCCTCAGTTTCACCACCCCTCCGTTTGTCTCCCACACTTTTCCTTTGTCTTGTCACTTCTGTACAAATGTTTTGCTTTTT